CTGTTGTCCATAAATGGTTTTGTCTATAACATGAGTACTCAATAAAATGGTTTTGTCTATAATACGAGCGGAGTGCAATACGAAGCCGAGATGCCGTATAACTGCGCGAGACAATGACGACTGTTGAACTTTTCTGTCTTACACCGCAAGACAGTTGCGCTTCGTGGGGACTGTATACTATCAGAACAATACCTCGGAAATAGAACACACACGCGTACTTTAAAACATATTTATTTAAACTATTCAAACGATAAATACACTAACATAACAATCCTTCTGGTTTTCTCTCGTGCTTTCAGTCTGACAATCAATTCGAAGTATATTATTTATGATATACGATACATTTCTTACGTCAATCAACTAAATCACCCATTGTTTGGTCTCCTACGGCGTTATCAATAGTATAATGTTACAAATTATTGTACACACTCCCCCCTTTGAGCCTATAAGGGTCAAACATGATTTGTGTTCTCCAACGTGCATCCAAAGCTGCTGCTCTCCTAGGTCTATTACTATGGACACAGCTTTCCACCTTACCCTTCTCTCCGTCTTTATCATTCATTACCGTCTTTCCTTTCTGGTTATCATACCCATCCACTTCATTTTCAACTTTATTATCCTTTCTTTCTTCCGTACTGCTTCCGTTCTCATTTAACTCTACAGGATACCATTTCTGAACTGGTCTATTAAGATATACTGGATTTCCTTTAGTCATCACTCTCACTTTTGCTCCTCGAACCACTTCATCTTTACCGACAATTAAACTCTCAATCCTACCTAACTTCCAAAATCCTCTCTTAAGATTCTCGTCAAATACTAAAACTGAATCTCCCTTCTTCACGTTCCTATCCCTCTTCTCCCTCTTACTTCTATGATGCTCTCTCAAATTCGTCAAGTATTCTTTTCTCCATCTCTCCCAAAAGTGAACTCGCAGTTTCGCTAGATGCCTAAACCTACGCTTAACCTTTGTCGCATCATTCTCTTCAATTTTGTAACTAGTCTTGTCTGAACTTAATTCACATACATAATACACAACTGCACAATAGGTTTTCAAACTAGCATCACCAAACCCATGTAATGAACAATTGGGTTTTCCAATTAGATTTCCATACACACACCTTGGTATCATAATTTGACCTACAACTTCAAGATCATGAACCCAACCTAAACATTGCTTCAAATAGTTTCATTTAGTTCAGAATCCCAATCTACTTTGTCCAAACACTGTGCTTGAAACAACATCTTAATACTTACTACCATTGGGCTAAGAATTCCCAATGGTATAACCATATGACACTCAAGTTTGTTTAGAAATTCAAACTCAGTGTCACACATGAAACAAATATACCAGTAGTATAGTAGGTGGTTTTCGGGCCTTATTTTTGAGGGTGCGTAAGGGTGCGTTAATTAATATTCATACAAATGAGGGTGCGTAATGACGTCACTCATTAACATACGTCATAATTATATGCAATGACGTCACGCTGAGGAGGAGTGAGGAGGAATGAGGGTGCGTAGTGACGTCACGCGGGCAGGATCAGGTAAGTAATGACGTCACGCGGGCAGGTTTAAACACGATCGGGCGGAACTTGCTGACTACGCATTTTTTAGCGTCGCCCACGTTTATGATACAATAGTTAGGGCTATACACCAGAGAATATGTTGTTGTCTGGAGTTTTATAAGTACAGCTCTGGCATTTTGCTGTTATTGTCAAGTGATTCCTTTAATTTAGCTCCCAGAGGAGTAAAAAATCTGATACTATATGAAATAGCACTAGTGTTAAATATCTAAAACTTATATATTCGGGGTATACAGCTATATGTTTTGTTGTTAAGTAATATATATTATCAAGCGTCAAAACGCTGAGAAATAGCATGCGGT